CCAAGCACCTCCGCCGCCCGCCTGAGCGCATTCCTGCTTGTGGCAACCATGCCTGCATGCGCCGTGCATTAACCGCTGGCTTGGCCTGAGACACGCTTTCCTGCCTCGACACCCGTGGACGTCGACGCCGACAACATGAATATCCAGGCCACGCCGCCCCCGGCCACGACCTCACGACGCCGCTCGAGCGCTGCCAACGGCGCTGCAGAGGCCATTGCCGCCGCCGCCACCGCCTCTGCCAACCTCAACCGCTGGTCCCAGGCTCCGGGCACCCAGGCCGGCAGGAGCGACCACCCGCACCACCAGCACCACCCGAGTTTCTCGCGCAAGCTGAGCATCACCACGCCCAACACCGCCGCGCCTGCCACTGCCGCCAATGGCCCCGAATCCCCCGCTCGCATCGCCAATTCTGCCCCTCGCTCGCCCACCGCGAGCCCCCGCCGACACCGCCCACGCTCGCCCGCATACGACCCCCCATCCGCGGTGACAGCCGCCCCAAAGGTGCCCCAGCTGCCCCCGATCTTGCTGCCCTCGACCGTCTACGACCCCAACACCCCCACGAGCACCTCGACCACCAACAACTCGCCCTCGGCCTCTAGCCTCTTTACCCCGAACCTGCTCTCCGGCCTCCAGCAGCGCGACTACTTCAACTCGAAACCCACGCAGCCGCCGCCCTCCCAGAGGCCCCCGTCTCGCACCACCAAGGCCGAAAAGGTGCTGGGCAAGTCGCCCCTCGGGTCGCCTGCGGTCCTTCAGGAGGCTGACCCAAGGCACGACTCCACTTCGGGCGCAGCTCGGCCCTCTACAGCACGCAGACCCTCCGTTGCAGCACCTAGGGATCCCGTCCAAAAGCCCCCACCCAGTGCGGGCCACAGACCAGCCGCCTCGCGGGACCACTCCAGGAGCCAGAGCAGAGAACAGTTCAGGTCCGGGAGCAGAGCCCATGTCCGCAGCCCCAGCAGGGATCACCATCGCAACGAGAGCAACGCCAGCGCTAGGCTAGACGACAGCTACCAGGGCACGCCTCCCCGCACACGCGAGCGCAGAGAGAAGGACAAGAAGACGATGCTGTCGCGTGCCCTGCAAAAGGCGAACACCGCTGTCCTGCTCGACAATGCGCAAAACTTTGAGGGCGCCATGGAGGCGTACGAGGATGCCTGCAAGCTCCTCCAGCAGGTCATGATTCGCAGCTCGCAGGAAGAGGACAGGCGGAAGCTGGACGCCATTGTAAGTCACTGCATACATTATCTGTAACCATTCACTACTAACTCCAGTAGCGAGTAACATACACCAACCGCATAGAAGAGCTGCGACGGCTAGATCCCGGCTACACTAACCATAGCGGCAAATCACTACCAGCACGCCCCATGAGCGGGGAATCGCTGGACGAACACCGCTCAATGCTGCTCCTTGACGACGACGAACCACCTGCAGTGATTGAAACTGCCACAGTATCTCGCATAGTTAACGACCGTTCTATATATGATACCCCTCCAGCCGGCGAGCCTACACCGCCGCCCAACCAGCAGCTGCCTCTCCGCAAGGGCTCCGACGGTCCTCGTGAGTCGGTCATTTCCACCGCCATCCGCGATGTGCAAAGAGGCATGCAGAACCCGCAATTCAACCTACAGCCCCCACCTGGGCGAATCGCACCTTCTACCACATCTGTCCGATCATCGGTTGCCGAATCGATGATGGACCGCGTATATATGCCCCCACCGCTCTCCCCCAAGCGGTCCAAATCTCCTCTCCTCAGCGGTAAGGAGTCCGAGCCCGAGGAGTATGGCCGGTTATTACGACCGCAGCAGCCCGTCAAATCAAATCACCAGCGAGTACATAGCAACGAGTCAACATCATGGCTTGACACTATTGATGAGTCTGGTGGATCCTCATGCTCTTCCTCGGTCCATTCCATGTCTCCTGGAGGAGTGCGCCGAAAACATATACGAAACAACAGTGGAGGAACCGAGGCAGAATTCGATGCGGCGCTTGATGCAGCCGTCGAAGCTGCGTACGACGATGGATATGAACCTTATGATGACGACATTTCTACACCCGGCGATTTAATAGCGACTAAGTTGCGTAACGTGGAACTGGCCAAGGAGCGCGTGCGGGAGGCGGAACGCGAAGAGGCCATTGCCGCAGCCAAGTATCGTTACAAAGAGACGCAGCTTCGGGGCGAGGGCCTTCCGCATGTGCGCGAAAGCGCTGAGATCAGGTTCAACGACGAGGCGGAAGAGGAAGAGCGGCTACTAGACGAGATGACGCGAGAGTACATGCTGGATGGGTTTGATTTCGATCTGCAGACAAAGTCTTCGTTACCGCGGCAGTCAGACTCGAGTGGCTTTTCTGGAAGCGCGTACAACAGCTCCGTGTCGTCACACAGAACGACGGGTGGTACGTCACTCTCGACCGTTGCAGAATTGATGCACCCGACATCCAAGCAACCACCCGCTCATTCCCCGCCCGCGGTGCCTGCTCCATCTGGCGCTCTGCCTGCCTTGCCTACGGTTCCCGAGTCACAAGCACCGCAAACGATCGACACCGCAGAAACCACACCACGGCCCACTACTGCAACCAAGGACGCAGCCTCAGTACGAAGTCGAAGGTTATCGGGACAAAATGCAAAGTCTTTGAAAATAGAGACTTCTGTACCGCCTGTCCCGCCTGCACCTCACACGGAGAAGCCTCCGGTGCCAGCTAAGGATGCGCCTACCGACCTCCCCGTCCAACCCAAGTCGGCGGCACCAACATTCAGCACCACCAAGCCTACCCTAGACTCCGCGTTCAAGCTTCCCGCGCTGCCGCAAGCGTCCCAACAATCTGGTCTTCGAGCTCCATCACCTCAGCCCACCCTCTACAGTCCCGCCGAAACTGCTGCCACGGTTTCACCCGCGACGCCCGCCCTCGGCCATGCTGTTTCTAACGAGGCTGGTCTTGTACCAGGTTCGCCAAAGACCGGGAAAACCTCAGCGATGGGAATCAGGAAGAACAAGTCCTCCCTCAGCCTGAAACAGCGCAACTTGTCAATATCCAGCCCAGATGGCTCAGATGCATCTATAGGAACGCCACTAAGCACGACCTTTTCCATTACAGGCAGGAAACCCAGCAATGTCAGCCTGGCAATGCCAACGCCCAGCGTCCCCACATTCAACGTTGACGGTCTACCGAGTGGAGGGATGCACTTGTTCGAGAGTGATATCCACTCACCGTTCTCGCCCGGTTCGCCAAGCCCAGCCATCACGAACGCCCCGATCCCTCTGGAGCCATGTCCGGATTCGTACCTCCTGAGACCGTTCTGGTTAATGCGATGCTTCTACCAGACTATCGCGCATCCCCGCGGTGGCTATCTCTCAACTAAGCTCTTTATTCCCCGCGATGTCTGGCGAGTAAAGGGTGTCAAGCTAAAGAACATCGAGGACAAGATCGCCAACTGCGACATGCTCACAGCAGCGCTTCAAAAGCTAGCGTCTGTGGATACAAATGACGCGGATGCTGTCCTAGAAGAGATGCAGTCTTTGGAACTAGTGCTCGACCAGGTGCAAGCCCAGCTAGCAAAGAAACTAGGCAACGAAGTCGGTGTGCAGTCCGTAACCGCACTGTTCAGGGATGCGACCACCGTCGGCGAAGGTGCATCGTCAACAGACGCCTCCGGCAGGCATGGCTCCGTGGACCACCAACACAAGGGTGCTGTTGCCCAGGGCAAATCATACCTTGCTTCCTGGCGGAAACTCCGATCAAAGAACTCGGGCGTCAACCTCGCGGGCATGGCTGGTGGTGCCAAGAGTGCAGAAGTGCCCAAGGACACTCTGATCATGTCCACCCTTCCCATGACCAACCTCCCCAGCATCCGCTTCGCAAAGCGAGACATTTCCGGTGTTGTGTTTGAGGGGCCCAATGCAGGGTACATGGGTTCTTTGGCAAGGCTATTCGATGCGGTCCAAATATTGGGTATGTCTTTTTCTACATCATCTCTCATCATAAACCTGGATTAACTAATAACGCTATAGACCAAATCGCCCGCCAAGTCGAAGACCCAGGTCTCAAGCATTCCTCCCCCACCCACGTCGGTCTCGAGCTATCAACCCGCCACGCCGCAGAGTTCTTCGGCTTCTACATCTGCCGCTTCGTCCTCACCGACGTCACCATGATGTTGGATAAATTCATCAAGAGAGGCAGTGAATGGGTTTTGGTCTAAAACAGAGAGCGAAAGCCTGCCTACCTGTATGTGAATATGCTTCTTTTCACTTCAATGCAAGGGATTTGTAATGAGACGGAGATGTTCTTTGTTTCTACAAGCGTTTTGTACCAGGCGACCTGTGGAAATAGGTCAGGTCTGGTCGGGTATGAATCCATACATATCATCATGACTCAAGAAAGCGAAGAGGGAAGAGGCATGAGTATCTCTTTTGGAAAGAAGCAAGAAACGAGCGATGGGATGAAGGAAGGAGACTGGTGTTTTCGGCGGCTTTTCCTCTAGTCGCAAGCACAGTCAAGTCATGAGGTTATGGATCTTTCTTGAGCGCTGGAATGGCGCTTTAGCTTGGCTCTCTTTTTTGGTTTTCAATCTTGTTGTTGTTCGCTGTTTGCTTTGGTCTCGTCTCTGCGTTGCATACTGGCTTTCGAAGATATCCCCCGCCACAACTCTTAGCTTAGCTTTATTCTTATCGAAGCATACTTTTTTCGAGATGCTGCAATCTGGGTATGTGCTTTATGTGGTGAGAATGGAGAGAGAAGAGAACGTTGGACGAATCTAATATGTATGATGGAGCATTGGAAGAAAGAGCTTGTTCATATTATGATCCATTGAGAAAGAGAAGAAAGTACAAGAAACAGAACAGCCAACTCAAACAACAAAAGGCCTTCCCACTCTCGCCTTCTCCGCAGCAGTAGTACTCACACGCTTCTCCTCAGCCTGCACAACAAGATCATGAGGCGAGAATTTCCCCTCCGTAGACACCCTGGCCCGAGGCTCCGACCGGTTCCACAACTCAAAATGGCTATAGAACCTCCCGTTCCCAGGCGGCGGCCTCTTCGCCTCCGCTCTGCCCAACACACTCGGCCTTCCCGCGCCTGGCAATGAAGGGGATGACGAAGCTGCAGACCCTGCTTCATCATCGTCACTACCCCCGCCAGGTAAGTTGAGGAAGCGACTCCACGCCGTCGCCGCACTCTCCAAGCTACTGCTCGCCCGTATGGTGCGTATGACAGCCTGGGCGCTGATGAGCTCGCTTTCGAGCAGTGCGGTCTGGAAGGTTGTGAGACCTTGTTCGAGACCGGCGATGGCTTCGTTTACAGGACTGTTCATCTCGCGGTGGTAGGCGCGGCCGAGGGTTGTCAAACTGTTGGCTAGGTCGGGCATGGATTGGACGTAGGCCATATAGGGGGGTGTGAGGTCGATGGTGAGGTTATCGAGGGTAGGTGTTGTGGTGGGGATGCTGGTTGGCAGGGCGAGGCTGGCTGTTAGGGGGAGCGTGGGGGTTGCGAGTGTGGGCACACTGGAGGTGGGTAAGGTGCCGTTGAGGGTCGAGTTGCTGGGCTGGAGCCATGATGTCTGTTGTTGGTGCTTGTTAGTGCTGGTTATCAGAATGCTCGAGGTAGCGGTCAAGACACGTACCCTGTTCGTGTCTAGTTGGTACTTTGCTCGGAGGATAGTGTTGGTGATGTTGTTGACGAGGTCGGCAGTACCCATCTGACCGCTGCCGCCGAAGAGGTTGAAGCCAAAGCCTCGATTGGGGTTATTCGGATTTCCGATAGCACTTGCTGCTGCATCGACGACACTGCGCATATCGGTAAGGTCCTGCACCGCGGCGGGTGTGGCGATGGCGGTCGGGATCAGGATGATGCCGGTGACGAGCATCGTGTGGAGCAAGGAGGAGGCCTTGTGGTGAACCGAAAACATACTAGGCTGACGATGCGGCGAGCAGGTAATCGGAGTTAGTAGGCGGAGGTGAGAGGTGGTAGGAAGGCTCAAAGTATGCTGCTGGAAGCTAGGAGTGTCTTGTGTAAATTGTTGGTGGATGAAGAGTAGAAGTTCAGGTGGCATTGCTGGCTTCTTATCGTATGCGTCTAGCTCAGTGAGTGGCGGAAGGAACAATACTGTCAAATGACGTGTCAAAGTGAGTGAGCCTGTTGGGAGGAAAGGACGACGAACCGTATGACTGGAGGCGACTATGGGAGCAGTATGAAGATGCAAGAGCCATCAAGCAGCATGCTTTCAAGCCAGACTACTAATATTTCGATTTCCCCGATTAGGTCAGTAGCCCTATGGATGTTTGTTAGTGCGAGTTACGAACAAGTGAAAGGCCTTTGCAGACACTCTCAGCAAAGTGTGAGTGTACAAGCAGGTATTGCAAATCGATTCGTCATTCCCAGTGGTATCATCTATCCAAACCCTACAATAACAACCTCAAAAACTCCAAACGTCATACAAATGAGCACAAGGACAAGTCCCATCACCTCTTCTTTACTGCATCCTCCATGCGCCTGATAAGAGTCTTCAATCCAACGCCCTTCTCACAGTTGTTCTCAAGATACTCTTCCATCTTCTCCCTCACCTCTTTCATGCCCTTGAGCACCGGCATCTTCCTCCCCTCTTCACCGTCAAGATGCATCAGCGGATTCAGCAGTATATCCAGACACTGATGCCAGATATCAGTCTGCCAGTATCGTTTCAAGCTCTCTTTGATCTTGTACGTCTTCGTCGCTCCAGCGCCAAGTGTCGCGCCGCGTTCAGCAATCGTACTGATATACTTGCCAAATAAGAGGTTGTGAACAATTCCAGCGAGACCGTGGTAGTCGATCTGGTAGGTCCACGGGCGAAGCTCGCGCATCTCCGCACAATCGGCTTCAGTAGTAGGCCAGTCGGCGATGAACTGCACGTCTGGCTTGAAGGCCTTCATGTCGATACCACGGCCAAAGTCGATGAGTGAGATACCTTTGGCAGACCAGCCATCGCGCCCATCACGCTTGTACTCCGAATCCCAGTGCTCATCTTTTTGTAACGCGTCGAATCGGACTAGAATATTGTCGCTTTTCAGATCGCCGTGGATGACTCCCTTTGAGTGTAGCGCTTCGACTGTGCGGAACAACTCAATAGTAAAGAACATGGCAAGCTGCTCGTCCATGGCACCATTATCTCCGCGAGAAAGGTTCACCAGGTCGAGCAGCGTTCCCTGATCTCTGAATTCCTCTACCAAATAGCACTCGTCTTTGAAGACGTGCATCTCGTACGCGTGAACAATCGAATCAGCCGCTCGAGATACGCCTAGCCGTCGCTTTGCTTGTCGCATGATGTAAAATTCCCATGGAGTTGGTGGATCTTCCATCTTGATAGCTTCCAGATTCTTGCGCTTCAAACCGAACTCGCCCTTGCCCATCTGCGAAGGTTTGTTCTCATCGTCGTCCTCGTCGGGGTCTCGACTTTCAACCAGGTAGACTGGGGCGAAAGCACCTTTCCCAAGCTCGCGTTTGACGGCGTATGTCCGCTGAGTTGTGGGAAACTTCAACGTGGGACAGACTGCAAGGTTGGCCGTCTTGTCGTTCGCGCCCTTGCCCGATTTCAGAGCCTTGGTATACTTGCGAATGTCGGCTCCTTTTCCGTAGCTCTCTTCGGTGTCTGCGTAGTAGCCATCGTAGCCATCGAGCGGTGGCTGGATTTCTTGTAGGATGACCTTGCGGATGTTCTCGTCGACCGGATTGCACTGTGCATCCTGAATAATTGGACCATTCGGCTTTACTGGTTTTGGCACAACCTCTTTTGCAGCCAATGGCTTCCGTTGCGGTTCGGCGATGGGCTCTTTAGGCACTGGTTTCGATTCTGTCAGGGCGAGCTTCGCAACTTTCCCTGAGCCATCGATAACCTGACTCAAGATATCCGAAAAGGCGCTACCGCAAGTATCATCATCGTCGTCGTCATCTTCAAGGATGTCAGTGGTACCTTTCGATCGTGATGGCGTCTTGGTCGCGGGAGTGAAGTAGTCCTTGTTTGCATAAGCAGTGGCGATGCCCAAGGACGATTCCGTCTTCTCGACGATGGGCGTCATGAACGGCAGGCGGTTGTTAGCAGCCTGGGCTGGGTCTCGGTAGGGCTGCATAGCTGGAACGTAGTCTTCCGGTGGAACTGGAACAAAGCGGGTAGGTAGCGATGTGGGCGCTGAGGGCGAGGTTGGAGTGACGACGTCAGAATCTTGCTGCTGTTCCACGTCGACATCTGCGCGTGTTGCCTCGTTAAAAGAATCGTTCTGAGACTGATCAGATTGCTCAGACTCATCATCTGATTCATCCTCTTGACCATCTTTAGGCACGTGCTTGCTCTCAGTAAAGTCAGACCACGCAGAGGCACTCTTGGTATCTGAAGCGTCGGAATCGCTTTCATCTTCGGCATCAACATCCAGCACCCTGGTGCCGAGTGTGAAATCTCCAGCTGTTGTCTCATCCCCAAACTCGCTCGTAGCGCCCGATATGCGACCGGTTGCCGTACTTTCGGCACCACTCGTGTAGTCGTCCTCATCGTCACCGCTGCTTTCATCACCACTCTGATTCTCTGAAGTGTTCTCGTCGGCGTTTTTCAGTGGCTCGTTGAATATGTCGTAGATCTCGTCCATTGCTTCCTTGGTGTGGAGGGTCATTGTGGTCTCCGGGCCTGTCTTCTTTCGCCGGATTTTGGGCTTCGCTGGTGAATCTAGGTTGGCTTGGACTAAGACATGTTAGTACGTAAGTGACAGTCTCATACACACTCAAACACTCACTTGTCTGAGTCTCTCCGCGAACTTCTTTGACTTCCATGACCTTGATTTTCCTAGTCCTGTTGGCACGCTCCTCTCGTCTCGCCTTCTTAGCAGCCCGTGCCTTGTCTACATCTGCCTGTGAAGGCGGCGCATTTTCGTCGTTGTTCATATCATCGTCAACGCTGCCTTTCAGGGGCACGGTCTTGGGCTTAGGAGGCTGTTCGTAAACCTGTTTGGGCGCTAGAGGCGCGGCCTTTGGCTTTGGTCTTGCGGCAGCTTCTGCCTCCTCGGCTGCTTTTCTTGCCTGCTTCTGTTCCTTGCGACGGATAGCATCCCAATCGTGGTCCATCCATCCCCTGTATTTAGCTCGAAGTTCCTCAAATGAGTATTCCTCTGACATCGGATCTTCATGGTTAGGGTAAACCTGCTCCAAATCTACAAAAACTACCTCAAGTCTGCCTGTTCTGGGATTTACTGCTTGCTGGTGTTCACGCAATGGATGGGGGCCGACGTTTTCGTCATTGGGATTTGATTTGGTCTGAATACATGTATGGCAAACGCCCACCAATTAGTCCTGTGATCGTAAATATATGAAGGGGCTGATGTTGGCAGATCAACTCACCTCATCCTTGAAGATTGACATCTTTGGCACGCCCGTGTTCTTCTTTCCGACCTTCAGAGTCTCACCAGCCCAAGGGCGCGCTTCTGTTGCGTTCTCCTTCTTCCGGTCCGCAAGCGATCCAATGCTGTCCCATCCTTCCATGCTACCAGTCGAACCAGGCCTTGCGGCATCGTCGCCATCGGAAAAGATGGCAAGCTTAGCCTTCCCCGAGCGAGAAGCGCCTCCAGCAGGTTTTGGCGCACTTTGTGGTTGTGGGCTCGGCGCACTCGGCGATGCATGCGCAAAGGGGTCCATCTTAGCGGCGAGAGCTGGACGGACGGCGGGGAGTGCGGGGCTTGAAGGCTCAGGGACCTCTTGCGGGCGGCTCTCGAGACGATGCTGGAATTCTCCGTACTTGCGAATCAGGCGCTCCACTGGACGGGCCTCGCGATCAATGCCCAGGTTGTATATCTCCTCTGCTTGTGTGAAGCGACCCGCGCCTTCTAACCAGGCCGCGAATTCTTCGTAGAATAGCGCAAGGTTCTCACCGATGCTGTGTCGCGCAAGGTATGCGAATGTCTCGCGCGGCGCATCTGAGAAGAGATGGATGTAGTGCAGCCACAGCTTGAGGTAGCGGGCGTCGTTCTTGTACTGCGGCGAGGATTGGAAGGCTTTGGTCGCGCGCTCGAGCAGCGGGCAGAGTTGCGATTGAGGTGTGTTTTGTGCGGAGGGGTAGGAGTCGAGTGTCCATTTGACATAGCGGTCGTAAACGTCTAGCGGGTCGTCTGAGTCGTCAATCGCCATGAGCTCCTTCTCAAACTTGAGGCGGGCTGCGCTGTTCGCATCTTGCATCTGCGAAGGGGATAGCGTCTGGCCAGCGCCAGAAGTAAGTGGTGGCGTGTATAGCTGCGCGAGTGCTTTGGCGGAGCGGCCGCTGGGGATGCTCTGGATGTTTTCCTTCTGGCCTTCTATCACCTCGAAGTCGGTAACGTCGTCGGAACCCATGGCGCCGGGTGGGGGTATCACAAAGGAAGAAGAAGAAGAAAAAGGAGGGTATCAGAACTACAGGTACAGTGCCTGCTGTCGGTGTTGCTGCCGGATGTGTATACCAACTCAGGGTACGCGGGGTTTGCATGTGGGATGATACGCTAGAACGCGCTTTGTCCTCTCCTGTCCTGGCCGTATCGTTGCCCCGACAACAATCCGCCGCCACCCACTACGTTGGACACAATGTACTGTATGAGACGGTTCAACCACAACCGAGTTATCAAGCACTCACAGGCGTATCTTATCATCGCCTCCTAGAACCTCTCATCTAAGGTTAGTCCTTCCTTGAGACCGCGAGTTTCTCTACAAGACTAATCCCTCAAGACAAGCAACCACGTCGGCTTCTTCTCCTAACAATGTTGCTGCGCTTATTATCGCCATCGATTGCAGAAATAGCTAAGTCTACAATTAGACTTCATTCTCTTGAAATGTTCGAGAATAGCACCAGGGTCGCTCCTGCCTCATTCTGGCATGCGGATACAAGTCCCCAATAAACCTCATCGCACCAGCTTCACAACCTTTCTCAAACTTTTTTCTCACGCACACACACTCCCCCCCCCCCTCCCCTCAGTCTTCGTTCTATATATATATATATCTCAGCCTTCGTTCACTCTGTCTTTCTCTCAGCTTCGTTCTCGCACTCAATTCTAAGACTCTGAACAATACCACCATAAAACGACCGATCAATCAACCAGGCATCCGCCAATTCTGTACAGCAGGTTCATCAGACTCACATACGCCGCCAGTTGTAAGCTCTGCCGCAGCTTCAGTCCCGCCAGTTGCAAGCTCTGCCGCGACTTCAGTCCCGCCAATCTCAACCACTTCCCTCGCAGCATCCATAGTAGCTGCAACACCAGAGCGCTCAACCGCCTAGGCATTAGAAGGCTGTATTGTTCCACACCTAAACCTATCTATCCAAGTACACCACTTGTCCATTCCTTGTCCACTAGAGACGCCTGCCAACCTTGGAATATACTATTATACTTCAACCTCCTTGCTACTACCCTTCAACTTCTCTGCCATCATCATCCAACCTATCCAACCTATCCAACCTATCCAACCTATCCAACCTATCCAACCTATCCAACCTATCCAACCTATCCAACCTATCCAAACAAATCTCCTCTCCCTCTTCCTCTTCCTCTGCAATTGTGTCTACCCTCATCTCAATCTTGCTCTTTCCCATTGTACGCAGTAGTTCCAATGCGTATGCGAGCTGCTCGCTCTTCGTGATCGCAATCTGTTGATTCCCAGTCAAAATGTACTTGAAAGTAATGAGGCTATTAGCGGGGTATTCGAATGACTTCTTCCTCCGCCTAAGGACCGCCGCGAACCTGGTGAGACTGACTTTGACGGGGTCCAGATCGCTCATGTCGCCCAGTTCCGGCTGGTCATTCTTGTCGAGTAGATCCATGACACGGACGATGGCAGCCTCATCGCCATTGTTGACAATGCGGATGCTGACATGTTTGTATAGGGTGGACGGAATCTTCTTCTTTGGCGAGAGATCGACTTGTCAAAATAACATAATCGCCTGTCTCTAGGCATCTGTCGCAGTAGGTCACAACAAAGCACACTAGGTCATAATCATCTGAGAAAGCATATACAAGCATGTTAAGAATGTCCAAGGACAACTATTGACCCTTCCAGCTTCTACCCATTACCAATGTTCATCATCAGTGACCCGTCCCGCCAAAAACAGCACGACAGCACATCCTAATAGAGAGAGTCATCATGTAGAAAAAGAAATTGATACTGACAAAAAACTCCAGACTCCCGCTGTTCGATTTGGTATATCCCTAAAACGAAAGCAAAAACGTCATATGCACAAAGGCAAGCAAAACAAAGGGAAAATGACATATGCCGGATCGGGGTATCCCAAGGAAGTTCGAGCAGAAGCTCCGATTGGTATCATATGGAAAGCGACAACAAGAGCCCTCACCTGGTTGGCGATTTCTGAAGTGAAGGGCAAGGGAAATAAAGCAAAAGACCGAGAGATTGTCATGCGGAACTGGAGGTAAAACACCAGACATGTGTATCGTTGCGTAAATCATAGGAGATTCGTTATTGTTCTTCGAGGTCGTGACATCGTGGGTGTGCTTTGAAAAACTCGACGTAAATTGATGATGGCGATGTGTGATGTAAAGGCGGTGAGGAAGCAATCAGCTGACCTAACCTAAGAGCGGTTCTCCACGGCTTGCTCGCCAGTGGCGACAGCAACAAGCGCTTCCAAGCGTCTCATGTCATTGTTGGCTGTCTGCTGCGGTAGCGGCTGACCGAACGTTGCGGGTCCCCGCTCGGGTTCTCGTTGCGGTCGATAGCTTGAGCTCGAGTTGGAGAGGCTGTGGCTATGATAATGGTGTGGTTGCGACTGTAGTGGATGCGGCCTTTCCATAATTGATGCTTGCGACTTGTAATCTTCGACGACTGGCGTTTCGACGTATCCATTGCTGCCCACGATGTTCGGATGATGTTCCCAAATCGTCCCTGGAGTGGGAACGCCTTCGCTACTGCTACTATCTTCAGGGGATGTTCTCTGCATAGCTCTTTGTGGTTGACTGACAGGTCCGTTATACCACGCCTGTCGCTTGTTCTTTCGGGGCGTCGTAGGCTGTTCTTGCGAAGTCCTGGGCGAAGCGTTGATGGAAGGGATCTGGATTGGCTGAACGTTAGAAGGTTGCCGACTAAAGTACCCATGAGCGGTCGTAGGGCGTGTAGCATTCGCTCGTCCGGCACTGCCAGGGTATGGTTGCGACCATTGTGGTTCTCTCTGAGAACTTGGGCCAGCAATGTTCAGACGGTCGATTTCCCAAGAAATACTAGTTCTTTTGTGGTGACCCCTGTGAGGCGGAGGCGGGTGCTCCATCGGCGCGTGATATGTCAGTGGACGAGCTGGGGCGTCTACTTGCATTGGACTTGGCTGGCGTCGAGGAAGCGGAGGGGGTGCATGGTCGAAGCTTTCAATTCCCGGAAGACGGGTAGTTTGAGAAGCGGCCGGAATTGAAGTAAACGTGGGCCGATCCGCGTCTGGCGTCTGGTGATAACCAAGCCCACTGGTCGCTGGGCGAGGCCCAGTATGCCCCCAAGTTCCTGGATGCCACGTACGTCGCCTCCAGTCCGCATCTGCGTTTGAATCTCTCCTCGACTCTGAGAATTGAGATGCTGTTGGACTCGCATATGCGCTGCTTTGGGCTGAATAGCTGGGTGCGGCAGTCGACTGCAGAGGCGTGATGTACGTAGAAGGACCCTGTCCTGGTGGACCAGAGAAAGGATTACCACTGGACGAGATGGACTCTCGACGTCCTGGAAGGGGTGGTCCGGCCCATGAGACTGGCCTGGACGAAGACGAAACCGGAGACTGTATAGTGGACCCGTAGCGAGCGGGGCTGCCAGTGACTGTCGAAAAGGTAGCGGATGTGGGCGTTGTAGGCGCGTTGGACTGCGTGTCATACTCGACAGGCCCAGGAGAGCCCATCATCGGTGGGTCATACGCGTTCATGGTATTTAGTGACAGGCGAGCCCTCGCGCTAGCACCACCATCACTAGCCATGGCCAAAGGTGGTGGCCTACGTCGAATGTCGGGAGAAGGTGCCGCGCTCATGGTCGAAGCGGTAGAGATTATGCTTGAAGCTGAGAGGTTTCTGCTGTGGCCTCTGCTATGGGCACCTGTGCTGCCTAGTGTGTTCGCTCGAGATCGGTTTCCAGGTGGTCTTACTCTGTCGGTCCGGATCTGTCTTTGGAACCTCGTACCCGTTGCAGCTAGCGATTCCGAGGGTATGTCTTCGTTGACGTGAACTGTTTGGGCATGTTGCCGGAGGTTGTCGAGTCGCGAGAATCGCCGAGAACAGTGACATTGGAAAGGTCTTTCACCAGTATGCTTACTGCAGTGTGTTAGCAATGTAGTGTGCCGCATAGTGAACTACGTACCGAATGTGTCGTGCCAGATGCTCACTTCTCGTGAAGCTGAGATTGCACGGCGGAAAGTCGGTACAAAAGAAGCGTTGTCCTTTCTTCTTTTTAGACGGCCGGTTGGAATCGCTGGTTACGCTATCGTTGTCCGATCCGTCTTTCTCGTCATCATCCCCATCACCCATATGCACATCTTGTCCCGAGGTTGTTGGCCTATGCGAGTCCTCTCTACTTTGCTCGCTCTTGTTCGAAGCTGAAGGTGTCTCGCTCAGCTCGCGGCCGGGTGTAAACGGCGACGAGGGCAGTGGTCGCTGACCAACAAGACCCGCAAAGGTATTGCGTGTAGGTGTCTTAGCCGATGGGTCTTCGGCACGGATCTCTTCGGTCGCTTTCGATTCGGCAAAGAACCTGCTGTTCGGTCGGGGAGTAGTCGGCGTCGTCTCGTCACCCGGGCGGCCCTGTGGCGCATCTGGGACCGACAATGTGGTGTTGACTGCCTGGAAAGTAGACATGTTGGAAGAGGCGGTGACCAGCAGTCTAACGATAGCCACCTCTTGTTCCGTGTCGTGCTGAGTGAGCCGCGCAGGTCTACGAAGACGAGCGCGTATAGCTTACAACCTGCACGAGGGAGCTCGCTTTGGTAGCGCCGGTGATGTAAGACTGGAGAGTTAATGCAGGCGCAGGTCCCAGGCGGGTTGCCTCGAGCGGCGCAATCAGTATGATACTGCGGGTGGTCCCTTCCTGGAGCGGATGTGGGAAGGCTGAAACGATATGATGACGAATAGAGGGCGGCGTTGCAACAACATCCGGAGTCAGCGCCCAGCGAGCAAGGTCAAACAAAATCTACGAGGTCGTGTTAAATTCGATCGTTGCGTCGTAAAATCGTCAAGTTGGTGTCGCCCAAAGGTGTACCAGTGGTGAGGGTTGAGCAACCACGGATACTCGGACTTTGGGCTGGGTGTATGATAAGGCGCGGGATGGGATGCCTCAGGTGGCGGGGAGATTGGCCCCTCTTTGACGCAAGACTCGATGCGCACAAGGGCTCGAGTAGGAGCGGCAGGATGCGGCTCTTGTGGCGATGCAGCTAGACTGTGCAAGACCCGGGTATGAAGGCAGAGGAGCAGGTGTCGATGCAGGAGAGCGGGATTAGAACGAACTCACGATTGCGTCGCAAATGCACGAGGAGGGGTTGGTAAGGCACAGGACGGGATCTTAGCGGCTTTGTCGTGCGCCCTGGACGGACGGCCTGGCAGAAGGCTGGGGTTAGAGTCCGATCCACCTTGCGACGAAGGCACATCTTGCCTGCAGATCCTTGGAATTAGCGATGCTTGGCCCGCCGACCCAGACATGATGAAGAGGTGCAGCTGAGCCCCAGAGTATGCTCGTCCGCCTGTCAGACCACAGTACGTCTGCAAGCCCTGATGAGCGCATCTGCCATCAAGCAATCGGCCTGGCTGCAGGACATGGCATCATATTGTGCGGCGGGGCACTGGGCAGCACTGCCTGTTTCCGGTTGCTAACAACGGTCATGGCACATGCTTGCAGCGATGGGTCAAGAACCTGACTATTTGCTCTAGGTCGTGCGTTATGGCCGGGACCTGAGCACGCTGGATATTGATGACGAAACACCTACCAACGCCCGCTGCCGTTTCACGTGTTATCAGATAGATCGGGACCATGATGGCTGGCTATGCCATGGACGCGCCGGCGCGTTTGGCCAGTCCCTCAAGGCAAGTTGCGCGCCTGGGAGAAGACAGCCATAAGCAGACGAGCATGGCGTCGGCCGCCTGGCGAAGCTGACAGTGCCATGCCCAAGTAATTGGTTGACGCGGATAGTCGCTGCAAGCTAGCAGCGTGGGCGAGCGCCGATGCAAGGGGACTCGACCAGATCCACAAAAAGTGTTGTACCTTTGTACCTTGCCGAAGCGAAAGGCTAGCATCCGTGGTTCTGCCGGACTTCAGCGACTCAAATTTTGCGTCTTTGCAGCGCGAAAGGCGCCAGGCGGCTGTTGAACGAGGCGGTCAGAGACGGTAGTCTGTCCCCTGGCGTTGCCTGGCGTTGGGCTTTGAGCGGTGCGTGACAGTTTGTCGCCATCACACTCTATAGCTCGGAAGCGCTGACAGAAAGGCGGAGGACCCAGTGGCCCGACTAGTTCCTGGCAAGCAGTATATGATTCGAGGGAATCTGGCGGACAGACGCGGGATGATACCATGGATCGCGAATATCGTGGTCATCTGCGCGGTGCGCCTCGTTGCGTCGTCTGTACCGTACTTTGTCCCTTGTATGCTTCAAGATTCCGCTTCCGGTGCCTAAACGAGACGCAATATTGCTATTGACACGTTGCGTAGGCGCATCCCCACACGAGGATCGTGCGCCGTGCCTACAAAGAAAACACTCGTCCTTCCTGCAGCGGCAGCTGGAGGATTGGTGAAACACATGGTGTATGCAGGCCTACATGTTCAAAATAGTAGCTTTACCGAATCATGCGGGCTTGTGTTAGCGGGCGAGCCAGATGTCTGGACGCATTTGTCGCCAGCGGTGGCGTTGGTGTTGAGGGAGCCGTGCATTACTCGCGCTCATGGCGAGGTTAGCGATAGTGGAGTCAACGCTCGGAACGTGCCTGTGCCTGCCTCCAGCCGTGTGATAGCCCGTGCGCGAAGCGCGAAGACCGAGGTATGACTCTTATCGATTATCGAGCAACTCAAGATGCACACGGGGAAAGCCTGTCTTGCATACACGTTAACCGCAGGCCCCTCCTCAGTACTCGCACAACAGCTTAGCACTACGTTTCATCGCCATGCATTGACGCCGTGTGGCAATGACGGGCAGCTGCCTCGCCGCACAACTGTGGTACATTGACACAGCCGAGGTGGCCAAGAACAAACAGATGGAAGCTGGTATCACATTGCTGCTGTATAAGTCACGATTCGCTTGGTGCGACTCCCAGTCATCACTCCACCGCCCAAGCAATGCTGATTTCTTCTTCGGATCTTGCGCCAATGCGGTATTGACCCGCCCAATCCACACCGCCTAATGAACAAGTGCCTAAATCTATCCGATGCTTACTGCACAACCTAGATGGAACGTCAGTCTTCTCTTCGGACAGGCAGCTGACTCATTGACATACCTTTTCTCGGAGTTTGCTGATCCATTGGACGATGCTTTCACCCTGGTCTGCCCGGTCTTCGACAAGGAGGGTCTGTGTCCATAGCTTGAGGGCTGGGTCGCCGTCTTCCTTGATAATGTACAGCGTAGGTAGGGTGATTGAGCCTACACCCTTCGACTTGTGATCTCTCGATTTCTCGACGACTATCTTATATCAGCAATCTGACTGTATAAATCATCAGTAATGTCAACTCACCGGCTCGCACTCGCTCGGAGTATTCATTGTCTAGAAGAGGTAATGAGGCTTTGCCCTGTTTCAACTGTGTGCGGTCTTCGACGCCAAATACATCATTCAGGAGCGCGGGGACAGCATCTCGGCCAATCCACCTAGTCACGTTAGCCCTATATCGATACAGACTCTGCGCTTGTACTTACAAGAACTGGTTCACACCGTCGTCCAGGAGGTACAGACCGTAAGGCACGATGGCTGCACTGGAAAGGTTTAATGCAGGTGGCATTGTGATCTGTCCAGTGGTAGGTTCCGGTACACCAGCATCATCAGGCATATCGTGGAGTGAGTAGAAAGACGGGTAGATGTACTGCGTAAGTAGGCGCAATGGCAGTGTAGAGAGGAGGTCAAGAGCTGCGGAACGGAGATCACTCGGGATTTGAGCGCTCTTGCGAAGACCAACGTTCTTGATGAGTCCCAAGAACAGTATGGGGAGAGCGCGAAGGTTTTGCGGTAGTTGTAGTCCTCCACCGCCCATGCTGCCGCCTGCCAACTCCTTGCGATAAGTTGAGAGTATCTCGATGATCTTGGCCTGTAACGCGTCTCGTGCTGCGTCAAGACCGCTCGACAATGCTCGCTCAACTGCCTTGTGACTGAAGTAGGTAGTGATCGCTTGCGCGTCTGCTGATGCATAGACTGACGCCAGGCTCTCAGTCGTAGGCACAGCAAGAGTCAGAACCCTGATACGGCGCTGACCACTTGAGGTAGTGTGAAGTACAGCGGCCTGGAGACAGGCGAATGGCTTGGAAATTGTTTCGTCGATGGCGACCTCGATCACTACAGCTTGATCTCTGGGGTATGCCGGGAAGGCGCAGAGGTCAGATGAGCGGTTGAAGAAGTTTCCGTAGAATGCAGACATCCTCAATCCGGTGGTAGCGCGCACTCGGAGAACGGCCTCTAGACCGATCTCAGCAGACAGATAGTCAGCCAGCTCGGTTGCAATCTTGACGACATCCTCTTGTCTTGCCGCGTTCCATCCAGGGTAAAAGTATGTCTGACCGGCAGTGAATCGCGGAAGGTTGCTCAGAGTCGCAACATCTTGGTACTGCGAGGAGAAAAGGAACATATCCACCGACACCTGGTTCTTAGAGCATTCTACCGCGAACGACTTGTACCAGTTATTGGCAGGCTGCAATAAACTGCCTTCCTTTCCGGTGCCCAGTAGCGACTTGTCTTCTCGAGGGCTCAATGCTGCATGACCAACATTGGGTAGCGATGCGGCAATGACAGTCAACTTTCCTCCGAGTGGGGAAATGAGCTTATGTGCGGATCGGAGAGCTGAGCCCAGCGCAAAGCCAGGGACGTGTGTGTTTTGGAACATGGTCGGGAGGCGGTCAAGGAACGTCTCGATGTTGTTGCGGCATTGACTGAGGCTGACCAGGAGGTCCGAAGGCATGGGAAGGTAGGGCTCATCGAGGTCGGAAACTACAAGCTGTTGTGGTTCATTGGATTCGCTGTTGTCAGGAGGAATGCCGAAGAAGTGCAAGCCGTTGTCGACCGCCTGGTACATAGTTAGCTTACGCACCATGTGCTTTCAGGAAGCGCGTTGCTTACCATGAATCCAATGCGTGTCCGACCGTCTGCGTTTGGTATCCGACCGAGCGACTCCTTGATGACCCTCGAGACGACGGCGAGCAATCCGCTGTTGACAGCGCCTTGTGTGCAATCCAGCAGGATGTAGTAGCATAGAGGCTGTGGAGGGCGGACCTGCAGAGATAGAGGTACGAAGTCAGCATTTGTCTCACATGCACTTCGTACAGCCAGTACTAACCATGTACTCCTGAGGCGCAACAAACTCGGTCACGGCATAGTTGAGCTCGGGTCTCTGCCAGCGGTCCACGCTCTTCTGCTGTGCTGCATCCCAATCGAATGCCTGAGGAACGTCGTTGGTCAGGTTGCACATGTTGCACCTCCACCTGTGTCCATGGTCCAAGAATGAGACAAATGGATTGATGTAGGCGCGGCAGCGTCGACAACGGCTAATGACCTGGTCGTGCACTACTGGCACAGGGTCCTCCGAGTCGTGCAAGCTCGCATATGGGCTTATAATGAGGGCGAAGGGAAGCTTGCTCTTCTTGAGTAGCGAGTGGTTGGTGGGGATGGTGTTGAGCGTACAT